ATTTGGAGTCAGGTGGAAGAAATAGGGGGACTCATTTTTATGATTCAATCCAGGGTCAAAAGAGCCAGATGTGAGCTAATGAAGAAAAAGATTGATTAAACTGAGAAACGTATACCTTTTTTTTCTTGGATTAACTGAACATGATTTTCCAAGAATGATCTATTCAATAACATTTGGTGAAATATCGTTGCTCGTAGACACAGCACTTATTTTCCATGCACAAGCTAACAGATTTCAATTCCTGACATTTTCAGGTGGGAAGGAAATTGAGAGATCTGGCTTCAGTGGTTCTTTCCCAACCTGTAGTCCAAAGTATCTTAAGAACAGCAGGTTTCCCTAGCTTGGTGGTCTGAAAATTTATGAATACAATTCCAACCAATCTTGACTTTCAGAGGTGCATCTATCCTGTCGAAATAATACAGTTTGACATCACTTTAATTTGCATGGCTCCATCCTACACAATCCTGGGATTTGTTGTTTTCTGAAGCAGCAGCGTTCTTTGACAGCGAAGGCTAAAGTCCATATAAAACTATAGATACCAAGATTCAATAGGATGGAGCTACAGCACTTAAAGTGGTGTCAAACTGTATTATTTCTAGAGGCTAGGTGCACCCTCTGCCATACTAACTCAAGATCCAAACTTCTGGAAAGTACCAAGAATCATCAAGAATGATGATCTGACTTGGAATGAAGCAGCCATGTAGGTTCAGTCATTTTATGGGCCAAAGGCTAATATGTGAGGAGAAGTTGGTGTTCCTTCAAAGGCTCTCACAGAGTAGATTCTATACCAAATGTTGGGAAAGCCTGATTACTGTGGTACTGAACTGAGCATCTGTGGTGAAGAATTCTGCAGGAGAGCACAGGGCATGAAGTGCTTCTTCATCAAAATGACTCCACTGAAAGCATGGGTTAGCAATATGAACTGCCTCTACAATATACCATGTGGAAATTCTCCATCTGATAGACACAGATATTATCTCAGAATTAGACTTCTACTCCTCGGTTTCCCAAACCCCTCATTTGCACATCCTGAGAAACTGACATACCTGTGGGATCTTGTAGGTGTTTAAGAGATTGGCCATTTGCATGGACGCATGGAAACTCAGCCCCTCAATAATGGCCATCAATCTATTTTGTCTGCCACAGTTATAATTGCAGGAATTCCCCATGAAAAGTAGATTCAGAATATTTCCACATGCTCTCATTGAATTAAAAGCATTATCATAGATCTTGGATCCCAGTGTGATGTTGGGTAATAGCTTGGCATTCTTGTTGATCTCATGAATAGCAAAAACAAATGCAAGGACAATTTGGTAGTTTTTTGGCATGAGACTACAAAGAGAATTTCACAGAGTCTTACAACCTGATACCAGAGAAATAAGTACATTTAATTCCTATAACAGTATAGTGGCTGACCATAGAAGAAGAGCACAGCATTTGGTTTTACGCTGCTGTATCTATTTTCACTTGTGTTGCTTTTTTTAAGGCAGGGAGAAATTCAGACCAAGTAATTTTCCCAACCAGAATTATTAGGAGTCTGAATATACGTCGTTTTGCTATAAAAGTATTTGGTGTAAACACTCCAAATGTAGAATCATGGAATCCTAGAGTTGGAAGAGTCCACAAGGGCCATCTAGTTCAATCTACTGCCATGCAGGAATTCCCTTATCTTTCTCTTCTCTTGGCTGAACATACCATCACCCTTGCTGCTCCTCATGCGAGATGGTTTCTAGACCTTTCACCATTTTGGTTGCTCTGCTCTGAATATGTTCCATGTAGTCAATATCCTTCCTATATAATGGTTTCCAGAACAATGGATTCAAGCTACCAGAAAAGGGAGTTCACCTAAACATTAGGAAAAACTTCCTGACGGTAAGCGCTATTCAACAGTGGAACACTCCCTTGGAATGTGGAAGAGTTTCCTTTGGAACTTTTTAAACAGAGGGTGGATGGCCAACATTTGGGGAGGCTTTGATTGTATATTCCTGCATGGTAGGGGATTGGCCCTTGGGGTGTCTTCCAACTTTATGATTCTACAATTCTATGAAATGGTTCTAGGTTTTATGTGTTTTAATCTATGCTGTACCCCTCCTTGTGCCCTTGGGCAAATAAGGTGATGACTATTATTATTTGCAAGCTGTAAGTGTGCAGCAGTTTTACTGTAGCCATTACTTATGGGAGAATGCAAGCCCTCAGTCTGAATGTAGGCTCAACAGGTTTGCACTAGAATGACCTACATTATGCCAGAGAATTACAAAAAGGGACAATATAGTCCCTTTAGGCAATAATGACTTACTTACTGTGCCACTGTGATTGAGTTTGGATACACCATGAAGTTGTTTAAAGGCAGTTCAGGGTATGCAAGGGATGCAAATACTCCAATGAGGATATCTTCTGGGGAATGAGGGACATTGTGTTGAATTTTTGAATAATGTCTACACATAGAATTCAAGCTTTTGCAGATAATCTCATCTGACAGGAGAAGGAGGTGAAGAGCCAGTAAAATGAATGCCTTGAACATCAGCATATTTGGTCCCAGTCCTATAGATATACTTCATCCACATAAATTTGTTGGTATGAATCCAAGAAAAAAGAGTCTTTAGTGAAGATATGGAAAAACAACAAGGACAGACCAGCATCTACCAATAAGCAGATTCTCAGATGAGCATTCAGCATACATGAAATAACCCACAGCTGATAGAACAGGTTGGTTCAAGTAAGAATAGATAAGGTTGCCACCTGTGATGAGTCTTTATAAATAGTTTCAATGCACAAACAGTTATACTGAATTTCTTCCTAGTTCACTAACTGGTGCCTAATAAAAATCATGCACTGATTATAGTAATTTTGCTAATTATAGGGCAGAGAGCTAATGCCCATCCCCAACTTTTTTACAGAAGCAGAGGAAAAACAACAAAACCTGCTTACATGATTCATAATCCCAGTATAGATAAGTTCAGATTCAGTGTGGAATAGTGGTTTGAGCATTGGACTACAACTCTGGAGACCAGGGTTCAAATCCCTGGATGAATTTGGGCAAGTCACATTTGTTTAAGCCTCAGAAAAAGGGAAAGGCAAACTGTCTCTGAACAAATTTAGCCAAGAAAACCCTGTGATAAGTCTGCTTTAGGGGTGACATTACTTGGAAATGACTTGAAGGCACAAAGCAACAATTACTAAAGATTACTTTCATTTCAGAGAGAAACTGGGTCCATTGAAACAGGTTTAGAAGATTGCGGTAGTAAGCTTATGTTTGACCTGAATTTCTGAGAAGGAAGAAAGTGAAGAATGTAGGAGAAAAATGCCAGTCCAAATCTACTGCAAATGACCACTGGTTAGTTCTTTGTTATTGGTTTTGCCTTTAAACATGGCCTAAAAATGATTTATGAAATATGCCAGGGAACTCATAAAGACCAACATCACTATTGAGAACCTATATCCATGGAAAGAGATAATAAAAGGAAGAGAGATAGAATAGCGCTTACCTCACGTGAGCTGATAAGGTGTAATTATTAGGAAGCTCTTTCTGTCAAATCAATCATAACATTTTCAAAATGCCCATTCTTTAGTACAAAGAATGGCCCAAATGATATTCACACCCAAAACTAACAATAATGGATTTTATCTGATAGCCTATTACTGTTGTAGATGTTTCAGGACTGAAATCGAGAACAGTCTTTGATGCTCGGTATGTCAGGATGGTATTCCAGTGATCTGTCACCCTTTTGGTCCGGTCAAATCAAGGAATTACAGGGAGTTTTGACAATCTCTAAGAGCTTCCTGAATGCCAAAAGCCAATAACAAAGCCTCATTGCAAGCTTTGGGCACTAAGGAATGGTCAAAGACATTTTGTTGCCTGGGGCAAATGCATAGCTCCCATTTCCCTGTGCAAAGACAACTGATTTGGGAGGTGAATATTCTTCAGGCTCCTCCACCATATTTGATGGCATTGGAATAGCCTGGGGAGACCAGGAGAACCCATATATGTTCCTCTCCATAATGATCTTGATATAATCTCCCAGCACCTGCTGTCTGAAATGTCTTCTCGATTCTGGCTAATATCAGCTTTGTTGGGCTGCCTTAGAGCCTCTCTATTTGGACTCATCTCTTTGGTTAGAGCAGGATTGGGAATAGTCCAGCTCTCCAGGTGTTGATGGACTGCAACTCACAGCAGGAACATAACCTAAGTTGAGAAATTCTGGGAGCACACATCCCAGTCCTATCTGGAGAGATGCAGGTGTGGAAATTGAATATCCTTCCCAAGGTTGTTGAACTCCAACCTCCAGCATGAAATAATGAAAAAACAGCATGCTATGAATCTGATCACAGGGAAAAGTGGAGCTATGTCTCTAATTATCAGATAATAAGAGTGGGCATGGGATATCCTATGGCCCCAGAAGGAGCCACTTTAGACATGAATATTTTTCTTTTGTTTCCTCTTACCATATGCCTTTGACTCACACTTTGCTAAGGAGCATCCAAAGCCGCAACATTATCTACAATGCTATATGATTTTTTAAATAAATTTTATTAATTAAAAAGTTAACACATAACATATAACATACAATAAAACACATAATAAACAAACAAAAAAAAGACAACGCCAAGTTAATAGAACAAGCGATAGAAGAAAGGGGGGAAAAAACCAAAGAGAGAAAAAAAGAAAAAAAGAAAAGAGAAAAAAGAAAAAAGAAGAGAAGGAGTAAATAAAGAATACCCCTATCGACTTCCTGGATCCTGTGTTAAGTCATTTTATCCTTCACATCTATATTATCCTTCCATCTTAATTATAGATCAATCTGAGATTTAATTAACTATTTACAACAACCTTCTCTTCACCTATACTTATATATACACATAAATATATAAATCCATCTCCAAATAATACTTTTTCTAACACAGTTAGAACTTCCTGTGATCCTTTATATGTGATACTTTATCATCACTGATATCTTTGCTCAGACATCTCTCCCATATTTTACTTATCATTTAACGTTATTTCTATTACTAACATAATTTAGGAGCGGCTGCCAAATTTTTTCATTCTTTTCCCAATTTTGCTCTTTTAACCTTATTGTTAATTTATCCATTTGCATCAATTCCAGTAATTTCTTTAACCAATCCTCTTGATGTGGTAATGTTTCAATCTTCCATTTATGAGCATATATCATTCTTGCACTAGTTATCATATAGTACACAAGTTTCCCATGTATTGACTCCAGATTTCCATCCAAAAAAATACTCAGTAAGTACAATTTAGGATCCAGATTTATTTTTGTTTCTAATATTTCCTCCATTACTCTATGAACCACAAACCAATAAATTTTTGCCTTTTTACAATTCCACCATAGGTGGAATAAGGACTCTTTAGCTCGTTTGCACTTCCAACATTTATCTGACATTCCTTTGTAAATTTTCGCTAATCTTGCAGGGGTCAAGTACCACCTGTGATGCATCTTGATGAGGTTTTCTCTCATATCAAAACTGGTTGTATATTTTTGGGTTTGAGTCCAAGCTTTTTCCCAATGTTCTAATCTTATAATTTGTAATATCTTGGGACTACTTCACCATATATATTTTTTGTTACCTCTTCTTCTAGATTAATATCTAACAGACACTTATAAAATAAAGCAACTTTTTTTTAGGATTATCCGCTACCATACATTCTTCAAAGTCAGTTTTTTTAGCTCTAATTTCTGTAGTTTTGATGTCTAGAAGATATCTTTCCCTAAGCTGACTATGCAAGAGCCATCCCAAGGTGCATCCTTCATTAGTCAACTGTTCTAAATTTTTTAATTCCATCTTACCATCATTAAACTCAAAATTAATTAAATCCTGGTAAATTAGCCAATTTTCATGTTTAATTATCTCTCTGCTGTGAAAAGCCTCATGAATTGAAGCCCAGTTTGATATATTAGGACATATTCTTTCTTTATATTTAAGCCAGACTTGTAACATGGCTTTCCTAATATAATGATTCATAAAATCTTTATGAATCTTTTATTTTTGATAGAAGAGATAGGTATGCTATATGATTTTTTTTACCAATAATATGAAAACACAACAAAGGAGAAGAATGGAAGAATAATATATATCTGAAGACCTTAAGGTTTCCATCATTTTTTCCTTACTATATATGTTCTT